AGCCCTGGTCTGCTGGGATTAGTGGCCTTATGAGAACAGGCACCAGAGAACTTGCTCTCTCTTCCACTTACAACTGTGCCCCCACCTGACACAAAGAAGACATCTCCATGAGTGCACAGCAAAAAGATAGTCCTCTGCCAAGCAGAAGGTCATGCTACCAACTTGATTAGGGACTTTCAGCCTCTAGAACTGGAAGAAAAGAATTTTCAAGTATTTAATCCACCCAGTCTACTATGTTTTATTATGTCAGCTCAAGCTCAGACACACAAACTGGATTTGATTCACGTTTAATTGATGGATTGCATTTTATTATGAGTTATCAAAAGATGCCCCCTTACTTGTTACTCTGGGGGCCATGCACTAGTCTGAACTTCCAAGATTGTACACCACAAAAACTCTATACCATCCCTATCAAGTAAAACAGAATGAAATCAAGTTGGAGATCTGCTCTTCATTTTGTGATAGATTTTCAGCGCTGGTCAGTAAGTGATATTTGATGTTTCCCTCTCCATTCCCACCCTTTTATACCCACGAAAGACATGTGTTTGACAGCAATATATTAATTCTAAGGACTTGTATTGGCAGAATGTCTTTCTACCTTTACTTAGTAACTTAATCTCACTAAGACCAATAGCAACATGGCTTTATTTGACACCAGTCCCATTTCAATTTAAACAGAAAAGGCACATGGTTATTTGTGATAATTTTGTTCCTATTCTACTGTATGGTGAATTTTGACTTTTCCTCAAAGTTCATTATGAGTAACACATTGTAATACATGAAATACACAATACATGCAATATATAACAAGTGCAGGAAAATATAACAGAAGGATATTTTTCTACCAAGGGCATCGAGATACCAGCCTCCCTCTTTTCTATTGTATGAGTGAGATAACTTGGGTTGGTTTAAACTAGTAATTGCTTTAATACCAAGAGTACACAAATGACTAGTGTGTTGGTTAGTATATTGTTATTTGTTTTTACTTTGCCTTGGAGATGGAAGGGATACAGGCATTAATTTTTAGAAGCAATGAGGTTTAAAACAAGCCATCTTCCACTTATAAATATGGTTATTTTTGTTTTTAATTGACATAATAGAAACATACTACTTGTGTGAGAGTAATATGGCTTCAGCAAAACATTGCAAAAGGCAGTGTTTCACTGGGTTCAAAATTACTTGTTCTCTCAATAGCTAACAACTATATATTTTTACTCACTGGGATTTAGTTTGTTTTAAATTTCAAGCTCTTTTAAATCCACAGTGTTTGGTAATAAAGTAAGTCATGATCCCTTAAAGTAAACTTTAATAAAAAAGATTTCTCCAATACAAGGATTTATAAAATGATCAAATATTCTTGTTTCTACCCCAATTTTTGAGATCATTTATATTTTGTAATTGTATAGTTTAGGTACATTTTATCTTATTCTTTTTTTTTTGAGACAGGGTCTCGCTATGCGGTTCAGGCTGGCTTTGAACTCATTACGCAGCCCAGGCTGGCCTGGAACTTGCAGCAATCCTCCTGCCTCAGTCTCCTGAGTGCTGGAATTATAGGCATGTGCCACCACACCCAGCTAGGTACTTTTAAAAGATAAAACATAACCATTACAATTACATCTTAGTCAGTTTTTTAAATTGTCATGTGTTCAAACAAAATTATGATTTTTCACATTAGTAACTGCTACTGATATGCTACTAATATAAGGGGGAAATCTATTAAATAGGATGAACAGATTCATCTGCATTGCACGTTCCAGATGAATTTCTTCCACATATGGAAAGGAATGAAGTTCCATACAAAACTCACTAAGTTTCAGACCTCACTAACAGGTAAACACTTTCATGAGGCTACTAACCAATGCTTTCATTTACTACTAAAATTTGACAACTTAGTTCTAATCTTGCATAATAACTTACTTTTATACTAAAACTTTGGAAGTCTAAACAAATTATTACTTTTGGGAAGAGATTATTAGACATCAGGACTTGGTCTCTCCATTAAAATAGGTAGGAATTAACTACTTGCATTTGTTAATTCTGTTCTATAATGTTCTTATTTCCAAAAACTGAATGAAACAAAGTCTCCAGTGGGTCACTGAGTTTCTAGAATTGGTCCCCATGGCCATGAAAGCCATCTTTCCCTGTACCAAAAGTTAATTCCAAAAGGACTTGAAGATAAATCAGTTCCCTCAGTAGCTAACTCAGACACTGGCCTCCTATCCTCACTTCTTTTCAAAAGAAAAGAAGATGGCCTGGGCCAAAGCCAACTGCTGCTCATCTTTACAGGGTAACTATTTTATAAATAAGCATACAAGTCTATGCAAACCCACCCACAGTCATGCACTCATACAGATATACACACATACAAAGGTTAGAGAGTTAAGGGGAAAGTCGCCTCTCAGTATTTGTTGGAGCCAGTAGAATTGTAAAGTCTTCCAGCTAAGGGTCTCACCTTGTCACACACCCCCAAACTTAATCTCTATGCCCTAAACTACTACCCTCTTCAAGGAGATTCTCCTTGATGTTTAGTAAGCTCTGAGAGCATTGTCTCTAATCAAAGTTCATTGATAATTCATCTCCTGACAAGTGGTTTTCTTGAGTATTTAGTTTTAGAGAATATCCTTTTGGCCCTTCTACTCCACCAACATTCCAGGCTGCTCAGACTTGCGAACCTGAGACAGTCCTTTCCTTCTGCTTCACTGGAACTGGTGCACGTCCCAAAGCAGACCTTGAAGTCCTTCCATATCACAGTAGCCCATCTACTATGTGGTTTAAGATGTTTTCCTTCTCTAATTTTCTTTTTCCCTATCTCTCTCCTTTCTTTCCTTTCTTTCGGTATTGCCACAAACCAGTTCTATTCTCCCATTTTAAATATTTTTTCAAAAAAATGTTTTTTTTCAATATGTCAAAGTACACTGGCACCAATTGGGTGGAAATACCTCACATAAATACTCCCCAACTGGACGGATTTTATGGTTTAGTAATTTTCCCCAACAATGTTCAATTTGTTTTCCCCCAGCACAATCCTGTCGCCTTGAGTGTCTAAAAGTATTACATCCTGGGTTCTGAGAGTAAGTTCAAATACTTACTGAAAGTAAGTTCAAGAAGCAAAAGCCACTTTCTACCCTTTAATTTAAATGTATAAACTGCAAGTTATTATGACCCCTGATCCCATTCTACTTATTCAAAGAGAAAAAAAGGCTTTCAAGATCCACCTAAACTACCTTGAAAAGGTGGTTATCCACCGCCTCCCAGTCATTTCCTGAAACTCCTTCTGGAGTACTGGCAGCGGTGAGGAGAGGTGGTTAGGACCTGCGACAAGATTATCAACTCCACTGCATATTCAGAGTTGGTACTTTTGCAGTTCGCACAGATTCAAGTTCTTTCCAAGTATGGAATTCTCAAAATGCTCCTCGCTTTCCGAAGTCAAATACAATGGATTTGGCCTCGGCAAAGGACAAAGTGTGTGCGTGGGGAGGTGAAAAGGTCAGGAAAGGGAAAGGCTTAGATTCGCTGTAGCAGCTGGGCTGGGACGTGTCCCAGTGCCCGAGGGGTGGACTCGCTGGGAGGAGCGCTGGGGTCATCTGGACCCGACTTTCACACGCGGTGTGAAGACCTCGCTGTTCTGCAGGTCCGTGCGAGTTCAAGCCGAGCCCGCCCGAAGTCCGGGGTCCCAAACCTCTCTTCCCACTTCCCAACCTTAAAGGAGACCCGGCAAACCCTGCTCGAGTATCCCGTGGGCCTGGCCCACTCTGGCCCACGTTCACTCCGAGGACTCCTTTTCCACCTTCTCGTCTCTAAGGCCACTTTTGGTGCCCAGAGCCGCCAAGCCCCTAGCCCTGAAATGTGAGTTCGGGTTCGCAGGGAAATTGCCGCGGTTTCCCAGTGCGGCAGCCTCTCTTCCCGCGCCTTCATCAGGCCTTTCACCGGGCTGCAACACCTCCCCTCGCGCGCAGTAGGACGCACAAAAGTGAGTCGCGACTGCAGATGTAAACTCCCCCACCCCTTGGCCCGCTGCTCCCCACTGTCTGATGGTCCCGAGGGTAGCAAGACAGTGCTGCTCCGGGTACGGGAAGAGAGTACGTGGCTCCGCCGTGGATTCTCGCGGCCCACAGCCCAGGCAGCAGCGCAGGGTCAAGGGAGGGGCCCAGATCTCCCCAGAAACTGGCAGCCTGGACCCCGGCGGGTAGGGTCTACGGGGCTAGGCGGGACCCCTGCGCCCTGCTCCCCCGAGCCTCTTTCCTAGGATGTGGCCCCGCTGCAGCAGGACTACTGTGCTGGGCTGTGAGTTTGTCTGGCAGCTTCTACTGAGCAGCTAATAGTATAACAACCCGGCTTTGATAAGTCTGAACTAATTACCCCTCTTAATTAAAGTCTTTAGCAGTTGTTTCACTGTTTTGGCAAGAAAACAGGAGAGACTTGCAGTTAGAAAACACCAGAGCCCGAGCTCACAGTGGAGCTGCTGATTAACACTTGAAGCGTTTCAAGGACCTGGCACCCGCCAGAGTTTGGTTTTCATCCATGTTTCTTCCTTGAAAGGAAGTATATTCGTCTATAAACATATATACACATATAAAGACACGGAGGCTTGCTCTGCCAGCTGTGTGGAATTGTCATTATGTGCCTTCATGATGCAAACAACAGATATCTTTCTACATGTTGTTGAAATGTTCTCGTGGAAATCCATGTAACACACAGCTCCTAGATACATTGTTCTCACTTTACTGTGCACTATAAATACATCCAAAGATCCATGGCAAAGTTATGTTTCTGTTAGAAAAATACACATCTTCTCTCTGTGAACTTAACCAAATTTCATAACCTTACCCAAAGCTCTAACCCTTTGGAGAGATTATTTGCACTTTCAGATCAAAATACTAGGTATTATTAACCCAAAGTTCACCTTTTTAAAAAGCAAGACAGAAGAGAGGGTCAGATTCAGGGATCTTTAACTGAATAATACAAACAGGCCCTACAGTTTGTTGATTAAATAAGCATGTTCCAAGTATTTATTTCCAAAAGTCAATGAATCAACTTTCACGTGCAAGAATCAAAATTGAAATTCAAATTCATTAATAATGAACCACTCTTATCTAATATGTGTATATATGCATTATGTGTGTGCTCAGATTTGTGGAGTGCACCTTTACAGGTACACACATCTATATGTGTGTATATAGAACATACACACGCTGTTATGGCAAGGGAAGAGGAAATGACAATCAGCAGGCATCTTGAGATGGCAGAATCAACACAATGGAAATATATACAATAATAAAATTAAAATGATGCAGCATTCCCAAGGAGAATAATACAGATCTCAATAAATACAGCAGAAATTTGTTTTAAAAACAAAATAAACACCATCTCTCCCATCATCCCAAGATGAAACACCATCATCCCTAGATGAAAAGTCTTTCCAAATTAAAAATATCATAGAACAAACCCTCCCAAATTTCTCATAATTGTTAGTGCCTATTTAGAATATAATACACAAAACCATTTAGCAGATGCATGCAAGAGGCGAAAGGTCGAGGAATGCAGAGGCTTCCGGTCCACCCTAAAGTGCGGGGCCCATCATCCCCTGGATTCTGCAGAGGAGCTTGGACTAGGAGGTCCAGCTCCCATCTGCGCTGCCTTTGCCGCAGGGTTCCTGACTGGGGTTGGGAGGAGCCTTGGCGGAGATCACTGGTGGAGCCCGGGCTGCAGAGGCCCAGCAGGCGGCAGCGGAGCCTGCAGAGGCGGCAGAGTCGCGGGAGGCTGCTGCTGTAACGGGGGTGGCGGGTCGCTGCCTGGTTCCCCCGCGGGCGTTCGGGCCAGCCCCAGGCTGCTGTCATGCAGCTTACGGACGTGTTTCTTGAGGTCAAAGTTCCTGCAGAAGCCCTTGCCACAGGTGGGGCAGGTGAAAGGCTTCTTATCATTGTGGGTGTGCATGTGGAAAGTGAGGTTGTAAACCTGGTGGAAAGCCTTGTTGCAGATATTGCACTTGAACTGCTTCTCCCCGCTGTGGGTCAACTTGTGGTTTTTGTAATTCCCTGAAACAGACAAATGACAGGGATATGGTTTTTAAAATAGCTTGAAAAGGAGCTAGTGGATGCATGGATGTTAAAGAGAAGAGCTGAAGAGCAGGGGCAGTTCTAACTGGCAGTGCAGGGCATTTGCTTCCCAAAGTGTATTTTAAAACATCAACAGTGAAAAAGTTTCTACTACCTTTTAATAACATTCATTAATCCACTTATCTACAACAAGATCAGGCAGCTAAAAAGAAATATCCCTTATGCCTTTCTCCAACACTAATCAGACTTGAGGGAAGGGGGTTAGAATGGCAACCTATGCCCCGAGTCACTAGTACTTTAAAAATCATTTTCTAAAATATTCCTAAAAGATTTAAGTATGGCTTTGCCTAAGACCAACTTGAGAGACAACATCTCCTGGGTTAGATACCTTTTTGATGAAATCCTTTGCCACAGAATTCGCACACAAATGGTTTGTAGCCTGCGTGTATTCGGGTATGCGTGTTTAAAGTGGAACTTCTATTAAATGCTTTACCACACTGGTTGCATTTGTGAGGTTTTTCCTAAGAAAGATGGAAGAAAAGCAGAAAAAAATTAAAGTACTTTGTTATTGCGTGGGGCCCTGCAACCAAAATACAGTAATGCTCTAAAAGCTTTTGCACAGAACAAAGGCAAAGAATACATGCCACTACCCCCATCCAGCTCACACTTTTAAACAAATCTTACACTAACGAATAACTTTATTGGCCACTTTCCTCCACAAACATTTTAGAAGTATACAGTGTAAACTGAGACGAGGTACACACCTGCGTGTGAATGATCTTGTGCCTGCACAGGGTACTGGCTTGTCGGAAGCCTTTTCCACACACTTTGCAAACGAAAGGTCTGGCTCCTGTGTGCACCGGCATGTGACGGGTTAAGTTATAGTGTGCGTTAAAGACCTTAAAAATTAAACACACGTAGAACAGATTAGCCAAACGAGCAATTTGAAATCAAACTGGGCAGAGAGAGGCTAGAAAGCATAATACATATATGCAGATAATTACTAACAAATAGCAAGAAGAAAGGGAAGGAAGGAAAGGAAGAAACAGGGAAGGAAGGAAGGAAAAGAAGAAAAGGAAGGCGGGGAGGAAAAAGAGGGAAGGGAGAGAACTCCCTTCTGCGTAGTACTTGCCTTTCCGCACACTTCACAAGTGAAAACTTTGGGTTTGGCATTAGGAGATCCTCGGCTGAATTCCGAGGTTTTGAATGCAATTTTTTCCGACAGAAGCTGGGCACTCTCTTTCATGTAATGCTGCAGCTGAGCTTGGGACAGGTCTTTGAAAGCTACTCCCGCTGGGTACTTTTCCACCGCCGGGACCACCAGTTTATTCCTTTCGGCTAAATACGTTTTTGGCTGCGGGTGCAAAGGGGAACTGAGAAAGTAGGAGGCCACCGGGTGAATGTTCACTCCGGCAGCCGGATGGCACGGGCCGTCACCTCGGTTCAGGTAGCACAAGGCGCCCATGGCGTGGAAGGAAGAGTGGTTGACCACACGCGGCCTTACCAGTTTGTACTGCTGCAGGGGCAGAGCTTCGCGGGCCAGGTCGCCCTTGAGACTCAGTGCGCAGTTAAGCAGGTCGCTGCAGCTGAACGCGGGCGCCGAGGGCGCCATCGCGGGTGCCGCCGGAGCCTCGAGACTTGTCTTCCGTGGCTCCGAGCCCGTCACTCCTGCCTTGGAGCTTGTGTCGTAGGCCACAGGCACGAAGGGAATCATGCAGGGGATCGTCGAGTTGAGATGCAGAGAATGCTTGGGATCCCCTTTGGGCATGGCTCCCTGCAGGAAGTGGGGGACTGGCAGGGCCTTGGGCTCAGGGGTGCGCGCCATGATTCGCTCGATGGAGAAGGCCAAGGGTTTGGGTGTGCTCATCACGTTGCCCCGGGCTGGAGCAGTCGCTAACATTTTGGTGGGCGCGTTGTGGCAGCTACTGTCCATGTCTGAGTCGCCAGCGTCTGTCAGCCAGGGCTGGGCTCCTCGGTCGTCGCCTTGTTCTCCGCTTGTCACAGACCTGCCGAGAGGAGGACGGGCACCGTCACCACCAGCAGCCTCCTCCGCCTCCTCCCCAGCATCACCAGCCGAACCTGCCTGCCCAGCCCAATGGACTCCTGCCAGCCCATCGCAGAGTTCTTGGCGCACCAATGACTCCGGGACAATCACTACTTATTTCTATCAATAGAAAGTGTTGTGTCAATAACGCAGCCAAGATCTCGCCAATCGTTAACTTCCAAGAGGAGAAGGTAAACTAGATAATTGCTCAATTCGCTTCCAACAGTCAACAGGAAAACTTTTTTTTCCTCTGCAGTCAGTGACTACTTTTCATTGGCGCGCGAAGTTCCCCCGCCCAGAAGAGGCGGGGGCGCTCTCCTCAGCGCGCGGCGCCCGCCCTTCACGCTCTCTCTCCCCGGCTCACACTTTGCTACCCTCCAGCCACCCCTCCCCCTTGCTTCCTCTGTCTTTTTAATTCTCAATCTGCTTAACCAGGCTTTAGAGGCTAGGCAAATCTGAGATCAATTTTCTCGTTTAGCTCTAAGTGACATCATCTAAAATCATTGTGCAAGGGCTAAATAAGGAAACAGAGTCTAATTCAGGGGCAAATGCCAGGCTATATTTATCAAACGCCAGGCTTCAGAAAGCCTTGGCCAGGAAGCCTCTGGCAGCGAAATCCGAGGTTTGCTTGCTAGGTTCCACTGGGCTGGGATCGGGCCGTGCTGCCTCCTCTGCAGCCCTCTTTCTTCCTCCAGGGCCGGGGACTTTAGGGTCTCGGCTTCTGGGTGTCTCTACGGCCGGAACCGAGTCTGGACCATTTGGAAGACGCCAGCAGGTAACTGGCCTCCCAAAACGCCCCTGAGAATTTAAGGCCTTGGGAGGCTCGTTATGTGTTTGTAGTTTTGTAAAGGCGATGCCCATGGCAAATAGGCCTGGGAAAGACGCACTCTCACCCACAAAGTTGTAGAGTTTCAAGGAGTAAGCGGGTATGACACCACAAGAAACCTTGATTCGAATCGGACCCCTCCCGGGATACACACAAACACACGCGAGTGCGCGCTTCCATGGATTTCCATTGAGAGCGCGGAAAAAGTATGTCTGCCTGCGTTCAGCTAGAGCTTCCTCCGAACAGAACATTTTCAGTACTGAATGTCGAGAGGGAAAGGGAAATAGTAGAATTTATTGATCCCCACCTCAGCTGCCAATGTCTGCGTGCCTCCTAGAATCAGTGCAGGTGGCAGCCGGATGTCTGGGCGCAGCAGCCCGGCGAGAAAGGCGGACTGCCGGCGCCGAAGTGGTGGCCACAGCTACACTCGCGCCTCCCAGAGAGCGCTTGGAGACCAAGCCCCAGACACGTCTCCCCCCCACTCCCCCAGGCACCCTCAGGGTGTGGCGCCCAGGCTCAAACTCCTGGGGCGGTGAGTTCCAGCGTTCGGAGTGTTCCCGGGAAGGCGCCAATTGGCAGAGTTTCCAATTGTGCGGGTTCCCGCTTTTCAGGCCCGAGCACGGAGAGCAGCCGCGCGCACCTTCTCTGGTGCTGCCGGCTGCGAGCCTGAGATCGCGCGGAGCTGAGCCTTGGGGCCGGGTGCGCACGAGAGGCTGCAGGATGTTGGAAGACGCTGCAGCCAAGAGCTGTCGCCCGGAGGCCAAGGGAGAGCTCGGAGCTGGGAGAACGGCGCTGCAGGCCCGGCTGTCTGCAAAAGTGGCCTTCTGAGCATTCCAATCTGCCATCTACCTGGTGAGTAAACCCGAGTGGGTAAGTGTGGAACCAGTGACGGGTATCTGGCCACGCCTGGTGTGTTGTCCTGGCGTTAGAGCCCTGGAAAGGGTCAGCAGTGGGGGTGAAGGCAAACTAGAAACCCATAGGATGGTATGTCCCTGACCTCTTACCCAAAGATGCGAGGCCTGACCTCAAACGGAGGAAACTGACCTCATTGTAGTCCTTCTATCCTCTATCCCCACCACATGCCAGGCCAGGAACCCAGACTCCTCAGCCCCAAGCTGGCTTTAGAGCCCTGTCGAGGAGCCTAGAGGGGAGGAAAGAAGAGGAACGCTGGGAATGCTCCCGGTGCCCAGCCAGGTAGGGCAGCTGGCGGCTGTTGGGGAAGCTGAAGGCAAAGGGGAGGGGATTGAGTCCTGTTTGAAGTTGGGGGTGACCCAGAGGCTAGAGGTGGGGGGAAGGTCTGGCTCAAAGCGACCGGCCTGAGCCAGGCCTGGAAGTGCCTTACTTCTGGTCGCTAGGTGGTTTCCGGGTGGGAAAACAGATACAGCAATGATCAAGCAGCAAAAGGAAGCGAACGCCGGACACCTGGGCAGAGCGGGGAAAGAGGCGACACACGACCTGGGAGGCACTTCGTAGCCCTCTTACTGGAGTTCAAGGGCTGGGGTTCCCTCAACCTGGAACATTTCCTTCCTTTTGCTCTTAGGGCCCCAGAATCTGTGTCCTTCGTTCCCATGCTCAGACAAAGGGCGCAGGACGGGCTTTGCCAGAGGAAGGGCGGCGCTGGGGGGACTGGGGGTGGGGGGGGTCCCTGTCTCACGACAGATGGGTCGCAGTTAAGACTTTAATTGCTGCCTTTTGGGGCGGATCAGGTTCCCTTTCCTACCTGCGGCTTCCCAATAGCGAAAAATCCCCCTCCTGCTGCACTCCTCCGTCACGGGGCCAGCTTTAAAGAAAAAAGCAAAGAAGCAGGAGACACCCCAGCTCTGGAAAGCATGGAGTGCCCAGCTGACTTGTACAACTCCCCGGGCTCTGAAGACTTACCTGCCTTCTCCACTGAAGCCACCAGTTTGTTTTACGTCTCTGTGTGTCCCTCCCTCTTCCCTTTCCCCCTCCCTCTCCTCCTCCTAAGCGGCAAAAGAGCCTACATTTGATGTCGATAAATTTCTCTTTCAGTGTACACTAGATTAAAAAGGAAAAATTTTGGTTAAGAGGTATACATGTTTTGTATAGTTAATCTAACAGTTTGCTTTCATTGGTCTTTTTGGGATTTGCCTCTTTGGCAAGTGTTTGAAAGTGTCATTTGGGTCATACAAATGTGGAAAAGCATCAATTATGCCCTTCTCTTAAAATGGCCCTGATCTTACTAATCCTAAAGACTGAAGAGGTTCTTTACAAATCCAGGTCTTGATATCACAACATTTGTTCATATTTTCCACTCAAAACCTAAACAAAACCTGTTAACTTTTAAAAATATCTCTATAAAGTAAGGATTGTCTTAAAATACAAAATATATTTAGGAGGGATTTCTTATTGTCAACTCTAAATAATAATTTGTTTTATTTCCAAATATATGAAAAAGTAGTAAACGTAGTGTATACTTGGCAAATTCAGAAGCTTCTAAAATGCTCCAGCACTTAAAATTGTTTAATTTACCAAAGAACAAGAGGGACTCTTACTTGTTTTGTTAAAAGGCAAAATGGAAACTGTGTTATAGATTCTTTGTATTTTCTTGGAGATGCCAATAATCCTCTCTTTTTTGTTCAGAAGTAATGATTAAGTGTTCCTCCCCTTCCCAAACACCGAAAGGCAGTATTTCTTTGCCCCACCAATCCACATTAAGTCTTCGTGGAAGTCCAGAATTTTAAGTATTTCATTTATCCTGATGGTGCCAGAGCTGTTCTTGATTAAAAAAAAAAAAAAAAAAAAAGACCAGAAAACAAACCTGGGTTAGATTACCTGAAAAAAAATAACTAAAAAGTCCTACTTCTACAAAATGATTCAGAGTTATCTTCTTCTAGATAGCCAAACTTTTACTTCAGTGATTCTTAAACTATATTCTTGCTATTACTCAAAAACTTGCATGATTTTCTCAGGATTTTTACTTAAGTCCCTAAGAAAATGTAATTTCTGGCCAACATTACTGCAATTTGAAATAAAAACTAATATAGTACAGCCTTATGTTACCAGGTAATCCATCATCTTTATTTTTTTCCTCAATAAGACAAAACACACTGTTGAATTTTTAAAAATAAAAAAGAATTGTAAAATACCCAACCTTCTGCTGAGTGTATTGATTTGACCCTGGCCTTGTTTTTAGGGTTTTCAGGCCAGCCAGGCATTCCTAACCCCCACCCCTTCACCAAAAGCTAGCCTGCATTCTCTTTGCTTCTTGCTGGCTGCTGTGAGCTAAAGAAGAGAGAAGGAGGCATTATTGTTCTTATTCTGACCACCCCCAATCTTTCAAACACATCTACACTTTTTTTCTGATTAATAAATAGCACCAAAGGCTTCATAATTTACCTCTTGAACAGGGAAATCTTTCCTAAACTCCTCTGCCGTCTTTGTCTCTCTTTTTTGTTTTGTTTTGTTTTAATTCCGGTGTGTGATGGAGAGGGTAATGGGAAATAGAATAAGATACCAATAGGAAAGATTTTGCATGGTTCAAGGAATGTCTTTCTGAGTATCTTAGACCAGTTAATAAATACACAGTGAGAAGGAACTTTGCAGCGTATAAACAAACATAGGGGCAGCAAGTTCAAATTTAAGGCTCCTTGTGTGCTTTTAGTTAGTTTGATAGCAACTAAAGAATTCTTGCTAATCGTGCGTAGTCCGTGAAGGTTAGCATCACAGGTTAGGAGAATGGGAAGCCTTTGAGCCCTCCTCTCTTTGGGGGAGGAGAAATGGGAGGAGGGTGGTCCGCTGTTTGTCTCTCGAACTTTGTTGTTACTATTTCTTTTATATAAGGTTTTCGTTTAAATCCAGGGAAATTCGTCCTCCCAAAACAGCATTTACATGTTCAGTCAATTTATAGAAGAAAGTAAAGAGCCCCACCCGATGTGTGAGCTATTAAGGAGGCAGCCGGCACGACAGGCAGCAATCACTGAGGCTGGTTGGTTTCGGCCCCTACAACTAACGCTGGGATTTTTCTCCCACAGGCCTGTGAGTTTTGTCCCTCCGGACTTCGAGACTACAAGTCAGGGCCGGACTGGATGGGAAAAGAAGTTTATAAACAAGAAATTCACTTTCCCCTATCTCTTCCTGAGAGCCACTTAGCAGTCAAGCAATAAAAAGACAGTGAAAGTTTTGCTTATAACTTACAACGGTGTTATTGAAATTTGAAAGGAGAACCATTCGAAGACACCACAAACGTGCTATTTTGTGCAGCTTTGATAATGTGCCGGCAATGATAGGAAGAACTGGTTAGTGCGGTTGGCTGATTAGCGTTTTGCTGCAGTCCCCAGACAATTTTAAAGTCATTTTGTGGTCACAATAAAAAAAATCCTCAACACATAGAGCGACTCTTTCCTTGAGGGTACCT